TGCAATGCTTGGTAAGAAATGTATGCATTATCTTGCCCATGTAATTGTAACCCCTCTGTACAGTATGTTCACAAATAAAATAAAATTAAAAAAAAAGAAAAGCAGGGGACCATATTTATCTTTCCAAGAATTAAGTTGATGTTTAATAGATACAGGAGGGACTAAAGAGGGAGAAGAATCTAACCAGGACAAGTCTTGGAAATCTAGCCAAGAAGTCTTGGAAAATAGATTTTTTTTAAAAAACCTAGACTTTCCCTCTAAGCACTGTAAAATGAATGTCTACACCAAGTCATATAAGGTTATCAGTCTTCAGTAGCTCCTTTATTAACTACTCTGCTTTCTGATCTATCAGGAGAGCAGGAGGCCAGAGCAAAAAAAACAGACACGGTGATTCTGATCAGTAGAGTACCAGCCATGATCAGAAAAACTGACTGAAAGCATGAGGCCCCAAGTTCAAGGCCCAGTACTGGTACAAAATTTTTTTTTACTCTCATTATAAAAATTTTAAACTCTAGGGAAAAAAAAATCACAAATGGATCACCTGGTTAACAAAAACAATATATTACAGGTTTTGTCTTCATGTTCTTCAGTTTTCTACAAAAGAAACTAAAAAGCAGTGTGTGTAACAGGAGAGTCATCTCTTGACCTTAAAGAAGGCCTTCAGCATTTTGACATGACAGGTCACCATTCATCACCTGCACCTTTACTACCACCCACCATCACCACCATCACCACTGCAATCGCCACTGCCACCAAAGCCACCATCACAGCCACCACTAAACACTATCTTTTGTGCTACTGCAGCATTAAAGCAATAAAATAAATACTTCACTCCATTCAAATGTCACCTTAAAGATTTCTAAGCACCTTGCACAGCATTAGGAGAATAAACTACTTCATTAAAATATTTTAAGATGGGCAATGTTTGTTTTCTGTTGCCCTGTCATCAATAAATATACACTGTCTCTCCAGAGAGCAGAATACAGGTCCTGCTTGATTATGACAGTCTTAGCAAGGTATCTTAGAACTCAGATATATAAATTTTTAGATGAGTTGTATAGACACATCATCAAAGTGAAAGTAGATGGTTAGATATGAGCTGAGAGAACAAAACCTCTTCCACCATAGAAACCACGGTGGCCAGCTCTTATTTTACAACATCCCAGGGGGCTAGTGCCCCCCACCCCAGGCTCTTCTCCTGGTACAAGCTCAGATTTCATGATAGTTCCAAATGTGTCCAGAAGCATTCTGCAAATGCCCAGGAAAAACTCAGAGTGAAGCATTTGTGCTAGCTATGCAATCTCCAGCGATATTTATACCCAGCTTTTTTTTTTTTTTTGAAAGTCACAGCCAAGTCATTTGGTTAGGTCGAGCGATTCTCTTACAGGAAATGTTTAAGCATTCACAATTTACATTGAAAATGGCATGCACATTTGACGGTACCTTTCATCAGAAGTGCATGTGTCAGCTTGTGGGTATCCAGGAGCGGCACGGACACCTGAGCTACTTGTTGGCAGCTGACACCCACAGATGCTAGTCAGATAAGAGGCAATGCAGAACCATCCTTAATTTATTAGGTAGTCTTAAATTTTCATGACAGATAACAGGACATATCATCAGTGGCTGTGGGGCTTGGGAAGGATTAAAAAGATAAAATAGCTTTGGAAACTTGACCATGAGATTTTCCCAGCAGGAGAATGAACTCATGTCCTGGGGACGGAATTGGCAAGGGAGCTCCTGTGGAAATTGCCCTTGAGATGAAAAGAAGGGGGGGGATGAAGCAATGGTGCTAAAAGTCTCTTCTGTGATCTAGTCCTAAACTTACCTGCGGATGAAATGGTTCTCCAGTTATTTCCCATTAACCACCCCCACGCAATGTAGGGAGCAGTGCTTCCTTTCTTTTTTCTTTTTGTCATGGGGCCTGAACTCTGGGCCTGGACGCTGTCCCTCAGCTCTTCAGCTCAAGGCTAGCACTCTACCACTTGAGTGACAGCACCACTTCTGGCTTTTTCTGCTTATGTGGTGCTGAGGAATCGAACCCAGGGCATCTGGCATGCAAGGCAAGCTCTCTACCACTGAGCCATCTTCCCAGCCCCATTTCCTTATTTTTCCATGGCCAGTAATTTAAAGTCTTTCACATTTTATCTTATTATAGAAACAAATTTTCAGCTGATTTTAATATATAAAAAATCCGACATTGAATATCTATGTATGAACTTTTAAGTCTTGATATTAACACCCACAAGAACCATGGGATCTTCCAAAGAATGCATGGAATCAAGAATTAAATTTATCAGAGCTGGGGATGTGGCTTAGTGGCAGAGTGCTTGCTTAGCATGCATGAAGCCCTGGGTTCGATTCCTCAGTATCACCTAAAGAGAAAGCAGGAAGTGGGTTCTGTGGCTCAAGTGATAGAGTGCTAACTTTGAGCAAAAGATGCTCAGGGACAGTGCTAGGCCCTGAGTTCAAGCCCCAGGACTGGAAAAGAAAAAGAATTAAATTTATCATACCATTTAAAAATAGTTACACACTCACCCTGGAAGGTGTCTGCCTACAAATATACACTCACACATGCCTTTTTTATTCACAGCATCATTATCAATGAATTTACCTAAATCAGGAAGAGAGAACACTCATGGCCAATAGCCATTGTCAAGTTAAGCACTTGAGAACTGTGATTCTTGTTATAAATTTCAAGCAAGGCTTTCCAGTGGGCAGCAGCAGTCCACCAATAGGAGGGCTGTTCTTCAATTTTCACATTAAAGAGTGCCTCCCTCCTTTCTTCCTGTCTCCAAAGGAAGTGCTGCAAAATGGCAGCCAGAGGCCAAGTTAATTTATTTCATGAACATAGATAGCTCCATTCAGTAGACCTTTGTTATCCGTAGTTATGTTTCCAAGGAGACCATCCTTGAGGAAAAACCACACATGCTCAGGATGCAGAGCTCAATAATGTACTACAGATACTTGATTTGTTTTTCCCACAATACTGCCTAACTTCTGCTACATTTCAACAAATCTCAAAATTTCACTTTATCACTTTAATTAAGCATGGTGCCTTTTGTTTTGTTTTGGGGCACTAATTGCTTTCTGGGAGGCAGATTTTCGTAAAGAGGGACTGAGAACACACTTCCATGTCAGCTGAGCAATGTAATACATGCATGGGGTTCTTCTTTTTAAACAGTGCTGGGTCAAAACCACAGGAAAGCTGGTGCTGGTGGCCTGTTCCTGTAATACTAGCTACAAGGGAGGTTGAGATCTGGAGGATTGTGGTTTGAGGTGAATCTATACAGATGAGTTGGCTACACTCCAAAAGAAGCAGCAAAAAGGAAGGCTGGAGACATGATTCAAGTGGCAAAGAACGAGCTAAGCAAGCATGAAGCCCTGAGTTCAAGCCCTAGTATTAGGATATGGGGAGAAATTATTTCCTACATCTAATAAATAGCAAATTAAGGGAGGCTTACTGCATAGCATATTTTTTCAGTTTCATTCTGGGGCAAATTTACCTATGGCAGATAATATAGGGTTACTAGGTTTATTAAGCAATGAAACTACTTATGTCACATTAACTATTTCAATCATGAGCCCAAAAAGAGATGGGAAATGCCAGTGAAATATAAACTGTCCTGGTTTTGGTCTTTCAGTTCCTTGGACATACATTTATGATTTTGTCTAGAGTGTGTCAATTCTGAGTCATCTCTTTTTTTTTCCCATTTTCCATTTCTCTTACTTGGCATCGTGACATAAAAACACAAATAGAACAGGGTCCCGATGACTCACACCTGCAATCCTAGTGACTCTGGAGCCTAAGATCTGAGGATCAGGGTTCAAAGCCAGCTTGGGCAACAAAGTCTGTGATACTCTTATCTTTAATTAACCACCAAGAAAGCTGAAAATGGAGTGGTGGCTCAAGTGGTAGAGTGCTAGTTTGGGAGAAAAAAAAAAGCTCAGGGATACACCTAGGCCCTGAGTTCAAGCCCCAGGATTGGTGCACATCACACACACACACACACACACACACACACACACTTTAAAAGAAAGCAGATGAGCCTGGCCAGTCTTCCAGAGTTCCATGAGAGCTTATTTTAAGGCACAGCAAGTACTGTAAGATGGCATTGAGGCAGGCTACCTCACCTAGCTTAGACGGCAGAGACCATAGATGGCCATAGACCACATCAACAAGGGACAAAAGAGAAACCTGAGTCAATCCCACAAGGATGCTAGCATTATATGGAAGAAACTGACAGGTCCTACACAGCAGGTGGGGGAAACAGCCAATCAGGGAATTCAAAAGCTAAACAAGGGGCTGGGAAGGTGGCTCAGTGGTAGAGTGCTTGCCTTGCATGCTCGAGGCCCTGGGTTCGATTCCTCAGCACCACATAAGCAGAAAAGGCTGGAAGTGGCGCTGTGGTTCAAGTGGTAGAGCACTAGCCTTGAGCTGAAGAGCTGAGGGACAGTGCCCAGGCTCAGAGTTCAGGCCCCACATCTGAGGGGAAAAAAAAAAAAAAGCTAAACAAACTATCCATTTTCATCTTAGAAGTTAAAACCCAGTTGCTCATTCTTTACTTCACATCTCATCTGTCCCAAAAGAGAAACTGAAAGCCAGGTGCTGGCGGCTCATGCCTGTAATTTTAGTGACCCAGAAGACTGACATCAGAGAATTGAGGTTCGAAGCCAGCCCAAGCAGCAAGGTCCATGAGACTTTGATCACCAGTTAACCAGTAAAAAGCCAGAAATGGAGATGTGGCTCAAGTGGTCAAGTGGCAGCTTTAAGGAAGATTATGGTCTGATCCAAAGGTCCTGTCTTAGGAGCTCCTGCCATACTCTATCTGATTCCTGTGGAGCCACTGGTAGCCAAGGCCATAAAGCCAGGGAGAGGTACCTAACACTGGGAAAGCAACATCAGGAAAAGTGTCACAGGCTGCAAGCACACAACAGATTTCCTCAACCCCAGTTTTTGTAAGAGATGAGGTCACTGGCAAATGTTTAATGACAGTATCCAGTTGGTCACCACAGAAACTGGAGGTGGCCTCATCTTGATCTTGTGTTTGTCCTACTTTCTTCCTCCTTCTTAGTCTTCCCCTTCATCAGTGGATATACCCATTCTCCAAGACTCCCTGTAGAAAACTACCACCTTCACACCTCTGTGTGGTAACTGAAATAAAATAGATACAACTCTCAAGTAAACTGATCCATTACTAAAATTATCACCAGCACTATTTAATTTCAAATACTATGAATATTTCTTGGATACAAACATTTTTTTTTTTGGTCAGTCGTGGGGCTTGAACTCTGGGCTTGGGCGCTGTCCCTCAGCTCTTCAGCTCAAGAAGAGCGCTCTGCTGCTTGAGCCACAGCGCCACTTCAGGTTTTCTAGTGGTTTATTGGAGATGAGTCTCACGGACTTTCCTGCCCAGACTGGCTTTGAACCAGGATCCTCAGATCTTAGCCTCCTGAGTAGCTAGGATTACAAGCGTGAGCCACCGGTGCCCAGCTACAAACATGTATTTTTAAAGACTGCTTTGTATCCTTAGTAAGATTAGCCTAACAATAAGTAATCTTCTAAAGCATGTCTTATGAGTTGCTTAGGTCTGTACAGTCTTTGATTATACAGATATATCATTAAGTTTGTGCATGGATACACTGCCATTTTTTCACTTGCTACACAAATATATCCCCCATAACTGAACTAAGTGCCCTTTCATGCACATCTTTATGCTTATTTATATTTATCTATATAGCATAAAATCTGAGAATAGTGTTGACTAGTCAAATACATTATCATACTTCATGGGCCCTCACATGGGATTCTAAAAGTTCTATGATTTGACAGGATGATCAGCAGGCATCCATGCTTCCAATTCTATGAGCTTATAAACACACTCTTAACACCTCTTTTATTGTTGTTGGTGGTTCTGATGGTTTGTTTTGCTTTTAACTTTTGGAGGAAATTTTTGGTCCTCATTATTAACATTTCATGGACACGAAGAAGACAGGGTCTAAGCTCTTATCTTACCCAGCCAGAGAAAGAACACTGAACAAGCTTCTTGGGCAATTTGTGCATAAAATCTCTAACAAGACCCCAGTGAGACTTGAGAGCCTGGCCCAAGGCCTCTGGATGTACTTGCAAATACAAGTCTTTAATTATTGCAAATCAGAATCTAGTCCAATGCTGGGCCACAGAACCTACTTCATTGTACATTAGCATGTGTTCGTTACAGTTACGGCTTCAAGGCATAAGGAAAGTAAGTACAGCTGGAGTGGTTCCTGGAATTTGGGATGCCTATTAGATAAAACAATCATCTACATCAAAACAATGCTTAGGCTGCTTTCCTAATGAGTTGGCTTTTCTAAATGCAAGTTTTTCCCTTCTGATAAACCAAGGAAAGACCTTTCCAAAGAGCCATATCTATGCTATGCTGGTAGCTACTATACAACTGAAATCTAATGTAAGATGCATCAAATGAGGGAAATAAAATCTCTGGAGACTGGATGCTGCCAGCATACGGATGTCACATAGCTTAGAGACTTTGCCAGCCTTTCCAAGACAGGAATTCAATCATTCAAAGCCATCACAAATTGAATAAATAGCAAATGATTTGTTTCTTATTACAGAAAAGTCATATGAAAATTAAACTGCATAGGCAGATAGGAGAGAGTTATGCCACTGGCAATTTACAATGATTCCCAATCAACTTTCTAGCCCTTATCTGAATTTCAGTATTTTTCATTGTGTTAGTGGTAGTGTTGATTTTTAAGGGGGGGGTAAGAAGAACCTCAAGGGGTCTTAGAATCACAATACGGAGTTAAAAAGATGCTGAAAAGAATCTGTCTAGTCCACCTATACCCTTTCAGTTAAGAATTCAGAAACCTTGCCTCATAATAGTTAATATACATGGCAAAATACAGGGCTATGGAAATGATGACTTCATTTCAGATTCTCTCACATCCCACTAGAACTTTGCTTTCATATTATTTATATACAACTGCCTCTTAGTAGAAGAATAGGAAAGCATGGGATATAATAAGTATTCGTCATTAGAATACTTTAGAATGTCAATTTATGGTAGGTAAATCATTTTTTAATTGGGTAATATCTTACAGAGATACAAAGCTACTTTTTTCACAGGTTTAGATAATGTCATTTAGATATTAGGAGACAACAAAATTGAATCTTGGAGCAGAAGGGATTTTAAGTATTTTCCAACACAACCACTATTTGGGGAAGGGTACTGGGGTTTAACCTCAGGGTCTGGGAGCAGTCTTTTAGCTCTTTTGTCAAGGCTAGTACTCTACCACTTGAACCACAGCTCCACTTCTGACTTTTTGCTCATTAACTGGAAATAAGAGTTCCATGGACTTTCTGACCGAGGCTAGCTACAAACCATCTAAGTAGCTAGGATTACTAACTATACTGTGTGCCATCGGTGCCTGGCCAACACAACACATCCACTTTTAGCTATGAACTGATGAAAGACCACAGAGGCATAACATAAAAGGTCATATCATTAAAGAGACACTGTCAGTATTTCTTTACTCCTTAGTTATGTTCCTTTCTATCCTATCAAACTGACCATGTACTATAGCTTGGTAGTGTACCTGACAGCTGATCTTACAAAATTAGCAAATCAGGAGTCTCTCTGTTTCAACAGCCCTCCCAGCTTTTTTTTGTCTGCTATGGTTTTAAGGTAACTTCTTTTCTCCAGGTCTACTCCTGATCTCAAAGGGCAATCCAAAACAAACAAACAAACACCACACATCCGGTTCCCTGTAGTAAAAGATGAGTTAAATACTAAATAGCCCAAGAATGGAAAGGACACTGGCAACTCTGTCACCAACCACTAGGCACAGCTGCTTTTAAGCATTTACTGCTTCGTCTGGCTGCTTTGTAAGTCTCTGGGCCGTACTATCATAGCTAAGGACTGGCTCGTCATTTGGGTAAGACAGCATCCCTGGATGGCAGTGTTAGCAATCTCCTCAGCCAATATCTGTGAGACCTCTGCCCTTTTTGGACCCCCTCCTCCTCCCTCCTTTTTGCAATACTAGGGCTTGTGTTTCTTAGATTGGTGTGAGACTTTGAGTCATATCTTAGCCCTGTGTTCCACTGGTTGTTGTTAGAAGAGAGTCTAAATTTTGGCCCAAACACACACCTGAGCAAATGTCTGAACCATGATTTTCCTATTTTTAGGCTTCCTGTGGTCACTGAGATTTCAGATGGGCACCACCATGTCCACTTTCCCTTCTGTGGAGATAGTCTTGCTGGCACTACAATCCTCTCAATCTAAGCTTCCTAGTAGCTTGGGATGGCAGGTTCATGCCACTGTGCCCGGCTATCAGTTGAGAAGGGAGACTCACTAACTTTTCTTTCCATGATGGCCTCAAACTTCAATCTTCCTACTCTGAGGCTCCTAAGGAACTAGGATGACATATTCTGCCATTCTTGAGGTCTCAATTTGTGCTTTGGTAAATCAGCAGAGTTCTTCCATCTCTAAAATGCAATGATTTGTTACCTGAGAGGAAGGGGGAGGGGGAGAGGGAGATGGAGATGGAGAGGGGGGGGGTGAGTTCAGGTGGCCTTCCAGTATACTATGTTTGAGTCCTGACCACTCTCCCTCTGTTCCTGCCTACCCAACCCAGTCGAGTTGAGGGAGTGGAGAGGTCAGATTTAAAATGAGGAGAAGAATGTTTGAGTGGAAAGAATGACTCAGTCACCATGAACAACTGGAGAGGCCAGGAGGGAGATGGGCAAAAAAACAGACAAAGCAGAAATGCTCAGAATAAAACAGGGAATGACGGAGGAGGGGCTGACTCATACTATGTAACAGATAAAACACTCTTAAGACCCAGAAGATGTTTTTTATCTTTCCAGGACCAATGTTAGGGAAGTCACTTAAATGCTAACCCAAATGCTATCAATAAGTATACTGCTGTGACATGACCCTGATTTAGGGTAGTTCTGACACAGATTTGGTATAGTCTACCCAAAGGACAGGACTCACAGATAAACTGTAAAAATTCCTTCTATGTGCTATCCTGGAAGGCTAGTCCAAATTCTAGTCTGTGTTGAACGGCCCTGAAGCCTATAGCTGACTATGAAGACACAGTCTAGAGCTAGGTTTATCGACTTGTTTCCTGGCTGCTCCTAAACTCACCTAGCTATTGTTTAGCTTACCCTCCTGCACAACTCCAGGGGGTGTCTCTACATCTGTGGACAACAGCACTCTGTCTCTTTATTTTGACATTTTTCTTACAAGTGATAGGACAAGATTTGAAGAAAGGGCAGCAAAAGAATCCAGTGAAGTCATGGCAAGGCTGAGTCTTCCAAATCTACACAAAAGCACAACGTCAGACATGGAAGGACACGGAATGTTTGTCTATTTCCTATGCTCACAGTAAGCCCAGTGTGGTATTCCCATCACTCACTCAGGGTCCCTAAGCCTTGTGTAATTATTATCAAGATGACAGACATACTAAAAAAGGTAAAAATACTAATCAAATGCAAGTTCCCACAGATTATAAAGGTCTATGTCCCAGGAATGGTCATCTATGGAAATTCTACTATTAGTATGAAAAAATATAATAACTTCTCTCCCTGGGGCTCATTGAGGGATTCTGGGAGCTCTGGCAAGCCTCAGAGTTAAGCATAAACTTCTTAAGGGTGGTCATCATTAGCAGAAAATGGAGACTCAATCAGAACCCAAAATGCTGTTGAAAGAAATGTTGAGACATCTGACCCAAACCTGGAACATTTGAGGATGTATAACACAGAACTAGATGAGCAGTGAAGATTACAAATGAGTTCCCATCTGTGTTTTGTCTAAATTGGTCACACTGAACCATTCCTGTAGTCACAAAATGTTCCTGATTTCTCTTGTCTCAAACTCGACTATAGTTTTTAATGTTCTTTCTCTTTTTTTCTTTTCTTTTTTTTTTTTTTTTTGGTTGCTGGTCCTGAGGTTTGAGCTCAGCCTAGGTACTGTCTCTAAGCTTTTGTGCTCAAGGCTAGCTGAGCCACAATTCTACTTCCAGCTTCTTTGGTGGTTAGTTGAAGATAAGAGTTTCACAGACTTTCCTGCCTAGGCTGGCTTTGAACCGTGATCCTCAGATCTCAGTCTATGAGTAGCTAGGATTACAGGTCACTGGTACCTCAGAATAAATTTTACACATATCATGCACAATATACAGTTTGGAAAAACTCATACAATCATATAAGTTTATTATACTCAAGATAGGAAAGTTTAATCATTCTAGAATTTCCTTTTGTTCCTTTACAGTGAATTTGTACCTCTCTCCATGACCACTGATTTAATAAACACAGCTGTAGTGTAATAAAAATTTCTGCAGTGTTTAAACTTCCCCTTAATCCCTTGATTTGAAGGCACACACCTAAATGCCAGATTTGTTTACACAGAAATTAGAATATATTTTATAATCAATGGAACTTTATATTTGGCCAAAAAATTTGGAAATATATAAGCAAAGTGCTGGTGGCTCATGCTTGTAATCCTAGCTACTCAGCTGATGGCTCTCACCTGTAATCCTAGCTACTCAGAAGGCTGCAATCTGAGGATCATGGTTTGAAGCCAACCCTGACAAAAAAGTCTTATCTCCAATTAACCACCAAAATCTGGAAGTGGAAATGTGGCTCTAGTAGAGCACCAACCTTGAGAGGAAAAGAGAAGAGCATGAAGCCCCGAATAGAAGCCTCAGTACAAAAACACACAGACACACACTAATTATGTCTTGTAGTATATAGTGCTCCAAAAAATTGATGAAGCATAGTATGAAACCTTTTCATCTCATAACATTCACTGAATGCTTACCATATGCTGTCTTCTTCTAAGCATTGGAAATTAAAACCAACTATATGATCTTCAAAGAACTATCACACGAAGGGCAGATGGTCATAATATCATGGGGTCAGGTCTACAGCAGACATGGACTAAAAGGAATTGTCTCAATTGACCACCTTCTTCTTCCAGGAGAAAAATTTCCCCACATCATGTGCTTCCATGTACAGAGGAAACGAGGATGCAGGGGCCAGCCCTAAGCTTTATTGTGCTCATTCCTAGGGTGAGTTATTGCCACACCATCTGACATATTGCCTTGGAACAATCCAATTACTTTTTCCACAATACTCTGCTGTATTTTATGTGTAACAGCTGCAAAGCTTTTATGATAATACTGAGAGAGAAGTCTCTGGAAATAACCACTCAATCTGTGAAAGGCAGATGTCCCAAATCCTTCACAGACATGCTTTCAGGTCTCCACATTTTCCCTTGGACAATTTTTCAGCCTTAAAAAAATATTTTCTTGTTTGCAGTGCCAAGACTGAACCCAAGGGCTCTACCACTGAGCCCCACTTCCAGTTCTCCCCTAGACAACTCTTAAGGAGGAACATAGAAAAGTTAATACCCTTACCTGGTTCTTGAAAGTGTTCTTCACTGGACAGCGTTCTAGACAATATAAGTATTAATGCTTCTTTAAATTGATCAAAATGCACCTAAAAAACAATTAGAAATAAATGTGAAATCATTCCTGAAGCCCTAAGAATGCAAATGTATTTACAAGGTATCAGAACCATTTGGTCCCACCCTGATAGCTTTGAAGTGAATCACCCAGGTTAGCTCTGCTTTCCTTCATTTCTCGAAAACACAAAAGGGAAAATGGGCTGATCATTTTTGACATCCAGTGCCATCAACACGTTAGTGTTTATATCAGAATGAATATTTATCCAGCCCCTATGGAGAAAAGCTATATTCCAAGACTCTTTTTATAAACTCAGGAAAAAAGAAACATTTTGAACCCTTATTCTTTTCATTTTTCTGATCAGAAGAGTAAGATGATAGGTTAGTTACTAGAAAAATCTTCCCAAATAAGTGATCCATTGTCTTGGTACTCTGCAGACACTTTCATATCTTAAGACATTCTAGAAGAGAGAGGTTCTCCTTTGAGAATAACTGGAATACGGTTTTGCCTGAGGTAAGTATACAATATTTATCTCCCAAGGTCCCTATGAGTCTATAAACAAGTGAAAATCAATACCAAACACAAAAGATAAAAGAATCTTGTGATACGTTGTCATGAATTCATAAAATTATAATTATTTAGACTGAAATGGACAAAAAATGAATTTATTTCAGAAAATGATCAAAATTGGGCAAAATAGCTGGACTCCTTTGGCTCACACCTATAATCCTAGCTACTCAGAGGGTTAAGATCTGAAGATCATGGTTCACAATCAGCCTGGGAAAGTCCATGAGACTCTTATGTCCAATAAACCACCAACAAACTGGAAATAAAGCTGTAGTTCAAGTGGTAGAGTGTTTACCTTTGAGCACAAAAGTTCAAAAACAGTACGCAGGCTAAGTTCAAGCCCCAGTATTGGCACTGGCACACATTGGTATGCACATTGGCTGGCTGGCACGCGTGTGCACACACACAAATGGTTAACAGTTTCCTTTATGAAATATCCAAGAATATCTAATACTCAAGTATATCCAGTACATATAAGTACAGTTGTACAATTTTGATTTATGTGATCTTACTGTAAGACGGTGGGGGGGGTGTAAAATAGTATTTCCTCTTACCACAATTCCAGTTTGATAATATGGAACCTATTTAAACAGAACCCCATAGGCAAACACAAAAATCAAAGTTTCTAAATGTGTAATTGTGCTGCTAGGGCTCTTTCTGGATGTCATTCTAAAACACTGCCTAGAGGCTTGAATATAGGTGACAAATAAAATTTGGAAAAGCCATAAATATTACTATCTAAACAATGGAGAGAAAAAAATCATATAATTTACCCCACTCTCACAAAGTATATGTGGTCTCTGTCACATTCATTTTGACACATTGAAATTATTTCCCCAAATCATATTACTTGAGATCATGTAGATGTTTTCTGCCTTTTTGGTCTGTCTTTCTGACTTTCTTTCTCTCCTTCCTTCCTTTCTTCTTCTTCTTTTTTTGTGTCAGTCATGGGGATTGAACTCTGGGCCTGGGCGCTGTCCCTGAGCTCTTCAGCTCAAGGCAAGTGTCCTATCACTTGAGCCACAGAGCCACTTCTGGTTTTCTGGTGGTTAGCTGGAGATGAGAGTCTCACAGACTCTCCTGCTCAGGCTGGCTTTGAACTGCTAACCTCAAATCTCATCGTCCTGAGTAGCTAGGATTACAGGCATGAGCCACCAGCGCCTGGTGGATGTTTTCTTCATAAAAAATTTAAATTACATATACTTACCATTTACAATTTGATACTTTGCTGTACATGAACCACAATCAAGCTAATCAACATACCCAGCATCTCTTATAGTTACCATGTGTGGCCGGGGGAAGGGGGGGGAAGGGCAGGGGCGGGGGGAGAACATTTCTGATCTACCCTTTAACAAATTTCAAGATAAAAATCAACATAATAGAAGGAACCAGAGCAGGAACCTTTCAGGGGAGATATAGCATCTGCTATGAGACAGGAAAGTACAATCCATGAAAGGGTTACACAATTATAGACATGAGGGCTGGGATGGTGGCTCAGTGGTAGCGCGCTTGCCTTGCATGCCTAAGTCCCTGGGTTCAATTCCTCAGCACCATATAAGCAAAAAGAAAAAAAGCTGGAAGTGGCGCTGTGGCTCAAGTGGTAGAGCACTAGCCTTGAGCTGAAGAGCTGAGGGACAGCGCCCAGGCCCAGAGTTCAGGCCCCTCGACTGGACCCCCCAAAAAAAATTAAAAAAAAATTAATAAACCACAAGAAAAACCGGAAGTGGCGCTGTGGCTCAAGGGGTAGAGCTCTCGCCCTGGGCTGAAGAGCACAGGGACAGTGCCCAAGCCCAGAGTTCAAGCCCCACGGCCGACAAAAAAACAAACAAACAAACAAAAAATTATAGACATGAAAGCAGTGGTAATTAGAATTTCACAAATCATCTCAAAACTGCTAGGAGGGAGGAATCTGTAGTCCTGGCTTAGACACAAGCTTCTGTTAACATAGCCAAGGCCATCTCCCCATTAGCCAAGGTACAAGCATCACATACCTACTCGTACATACTCAGGCCCAATTGCTACCACAACCATTCTTTCTCCTTTGAGCAGGCAGCAGAGACACCGTGAGGTCACACACAGGTTCTAAGCCTGCAAGGCCAGGTCCTAACAGGGCTCTGCCACTCACTTTCTGTTGGCCAACTTGTTAGACCTCTCTGAGCTGTAATTTACCTATCGGTTACAATGGGGATATCTAGCAAATGATAAGTATGGCTCATTCCACAAATGTTTATTGAGCAATATTATGTGTCAGGCATTGTTCTAGGCTCTGGTAACACAGCAGTTAATGACAGTGACAAAATAACCCAGCTGTCAGGGAGCTAAATATCTCAAGGAGTTAGGCAGATTCTGCGCTAAGAATACTGAATGCATTTCATGTTTCAATTCAATTTATTTATTTTATATACTGGTACTGGGACTTGAACTTAGGGCCTAGGGACGCTCACAGATTCTTCACTCAAGTCTGGTGCTCAGCCACTTGAGTCACACTTCTACTTCCCATTTCATGCTTTTTTTTTTTTTTTTTTGTCAATTCTGTGAAGCTTGAATTCAGGGCCTGGGTGCTGTCCCTGAGCCTTTTTATGCTCAAGGATAGCACTCTACCACTTGAGCCAGTGCCACTTCTGGTTTTTGAGGGGTTAATTGGAGATAAGTCTCACAAGTACTTTTCTGCCCAGCCTGGCTTTGAACTGTGATCCTCAGATCTCAGTCTCCTGAGTAGCTAGGATTTCAGGTGTGAGTTACCTGGGCCCAGCCCATTTTATGCTTTTTATAATACCTGTCTTCCTAATGAAATAAAACAAACATTATGTAAAGAATCTTGATACCCCACAAATGGCAGTTAATACTAACATGTACAATAATGGAGTGAGTGACTGTTCCTACCACCTTTACAGAGAAACTGGGCTATATTTCGAAGGAGAGCAGCTGGCCATGGAAGTGACTGAGACAGCCCAGTAGTGATGGGGTGGCAGTAGGCAGTCTGGACATCTATCTACCTCAAAGATCTGAGGAATTTCTCAGAATCAAGAGAAAGTGCTCTGGTGAGCTGTACAGAGAGATCTCAACTTTGTGTTCTGGGGCTTCCTTAGATTATTTGCAGAGGGGCATGAACAAAAGCTGTCTCCTCTTTTCACAGTTATAAAATGATGAGACTCCTGCTTCAAAAGGAAGGCATTTGTCTTGAGAATTTCAAATCCATTATACCTGATTTTGAAAGTCTCTCCTGAGTTTTCTACAGGTTGAAATTTTGTTAAGCCCTTCTGACTCTGGTCCTGACAATTCAGTTCAATGGGTAGTAGTTGTGAAGGTTGCCAGGATATCTACATTCCTATGTTTTATTCTCCTTGATGAGTGAAAGAGAGTTCTATAATTGGGAAATACTTCCAGTCAACTCCCAAGGCTTCCTATGAGGCCTGACTCTCCCTTCAATAAAATATAACCAAGTCACAGGCATTTGAGATGGAATCCACATCATTAGTATGGCTGCCTGGAATCTCATAGCCTCAAATATCCAGAGCACAGCCAACAATGAGGTAAACAGCAAATGAAGTCCAAGACTGGAGCAGGCATCGTAGAGCCCAGACACTCTCACCACAGAAAATACCGCAGGACCAAGTCAGGATCTCTTCATTCCTATTCTGCTTGCTTGTGGTGCTTCCCAGCCCACTGCAGATCAGAAGCAACGAATAAAGGACAGCACAACTAAAGAGTATGTACAAAAATCAACTAGTAATAAAAGGGATGTATGTGAATTTAATAAATCTATAGCCAATATCACATTAAATAGGGAAAAGTAAAATCACTCCTTCTAAAGTCAGGAGACAAGGGATAGTCCATTCTCACTTTTATTCAATATGGCACTAGGATTTCTAGCCAGAGCAATAAGGCAGGAGAAAGAAATAAAAGGAATTCAAGTAGGGAAAGAAGAAAAAATTATCTCTGTTTGCTGATATCCTATAGTTAATCGACCTACAGATACCACCAAAATACTTCTAGAACTGATAAATAGCTTTGAAAAGGTAGCAGGATATAAAAATAATACTCAAAAATCAGTAGCTTTTCCATATACCAACAGTGAATCTGAGGAAAAAGAAATCAGAAACAGAATTCCATTCACAATTGCCACACACATAATAACATACCTAGATATTAACTAGCTGACAGACTGCTACAAGGAAAACCATGAAACCTTGAACATAGGAAATGAAGAAGACATCAGAAGATAGAAAGCCCTTCCATGCTCATTGATAAGCAGAATTAGTCTTGTAAAAATGGCCATACTCAAAGGACATAGCTAGCCCACAGAATGGGAGGAGATTTTTTTACTAGCTATGCATCAAACAAGGGCCTCGTATCTAAAAATACACTAAAAAACTTACCCCCCCCCAAATAAACCCTCAAAGAAACAACCCAATTGATAAATGGACTAAAGACTTTAAGAGAGACTTTTTTTAAAAAAGAGAGACT